AAGTCTTGTTTCTCCGATGGTATTTCAAAGTTTTACCTGTGGAGAGGAGGGAGGAAGAGGCCACCAAGGTAGCAAGAGTCTTGCTATAAGACTCTTATAGCAATTATCTTTGATCAGCTAGGGCGGATGGAGGCAGACTTCGGGAGCCCAAATTAGAGATTGTGTCTGGGGGAATTTTGATGAGCAGTTTTGCAAAGGGATTAAATCCTGGAGGATCCCAGCTGGTGAAACTGCGAGCAGGTAGGTCATGTGGGATTTATAGAAGGGATCCTGGGAGCGATCTTGAACATCTTTGAAGGAAAGGCTGGGAATAAGCGGAAATCCTCTGTGGGGGCTCAGCTGGGTAAAATCTGTGTGTGGGGAAGAAGTGAAACTACCTCAGAGACAAATCTGAGAGACTACTTCAGGTGACAAGTCGTGGTGAGAAAGCAATCCTATGGATAAAGTCTGAGGAAAAATAAACAGATAATGGAAGCAGTCAAGCCTCCTGCAGGAAAGTAGAAGGAAACAGTTTTGGAGGTTGTATCCATTGCTGAAAAAAAGTCTTTCTTTTGTCTGGGGTTAAACCTCTGGACTCATTTTAAAATGTGGTTTAGAGGTTGATCTGAATAGAGGTGAGAGTAATTTCTGTCCATATGCTTTGTGCTGTGAGACCTGTCCTACATTTTAACATGGTGTTAGTTTAAAGGGACGGGGGGCAGTTGTGGGACCCTGGATGTGATTCTCACTGAGGGGACACCTTCTCAGAGCATAGGGCTAGATGTCATGGTAAGAAAAAACTCCGTTGATGAAGGAAGCCGTAAAAGTATTGAAAAAGGTGAGAGCATAAGGGGAGAAACAAAGATAAAATGGAAGTTTAAGAGAAAGGTTAACTGACAGGTATAACACAAAATCTTTAAGCTTCATTACAGTGACATGTTAAATGATTGTGATGTGGGAAGAAGGCCATTAGGCTTTCAATGCCGTCATATATTACAGGGAGGGTAACAGTGGTTAATGAGCAGCATTTCCAAAAATCTTTTATAAAGGTGCTCATATTCCTAGAAATAACTTTTAAAGTCTTGCTGATGCTTATACTCACTGAGTTGCCCTGAGAGCTATACCCTGGGTATGCAGCCTGCTCTGGGATTCAAATAGCCCGTGTTGTGAAGATGGCCCGGGAACCCAGCCGGGAGGTCTGAGGAACAGCCAGATGTGAAAGCTGTCCTCCCCTAGCCAGCAGTGAGGGAGGAGGAGGAGGAGTAAGCAGTTACGTGTTGACCTTGACATCAGGCAGGGAAGATCTCTTTTATAAGGAAGTTTTCCTGGGGTGGTTCCAGTTTATGGCCAGGTGAAAAGTAGAACGATAACCTATTTTGTGCCATTGTCATGATATTTAAGCCCCATTCTGGGTTCCTAAAAATTCTGAGCATTTATGCACTGTATAAAATGAACAGGGGTAGTAAGTACGAAGTGAAACCTGACAGATTTCAGGAGAAACCTGAACCTTGAAATCCTGACAGTTACACAGTCCCTTCTGAGCTACACTGATCATTTTTTGCTCCCATTCCTTTTTTGAGAATTACTCCCAGCCCGTCAAGATTGAGCCATATATCAGCATTGTCACTGATTTCAAAATTTTCAAAGCTACTGCTTGCCCAGTGTCAGACTAATTGTGCATGTGATCTCCAAATTTTTTCTGGTGGGTTGAAGAGTGTTCTTGGTGCTCTGGCTCCCTCCCCTTGACTCTTCCCATCTGTGTGTGTGTGATTGCAGGTCCATGGTCGCAGACCATTCAGGATGCTGGTGTGAATGAGCAGTGCAGCAACATCCTCAACAACAAGCGGTTTATGCTGGACATGTTGTATGCGCATAACAAAAAGCCCAAGGATGAAGAGGAGAAGGAGCTGGAGGCGAAGGAGGAAAAGAAGGAGACGGAGGAAAGCGAGGAGTCACTCACTAGCCTAGCCAGTAGGATCTCTATCCTTCAGGCCACGAAGCAGGCCAAAGATGAAAGTGTCAAAAAGATGGAGATCGGAAATCTGGACAACCAAGGCAGCGTGAAAGCCTTTGCGGAAAAATTCAACAGTGGTGAGCTGGCCAAGGGGACAGCCATGCCTGAAGATGAAATCAGTGAACAGGTCCCCGAGAAAACACCAGCACAGCCAAAGAAGGAATCTGACTACATCTGGGATCAGCTCATGGCTAATCCTAGAGAACTTAAAATCAAAGACATGGATTTTACAGACTTGGGGGAGGAGGATGATGTAGATGTGTTGGACATGGATATGGGTCCTGGGGACTCCCTTGTTCCCCCTCCTCCACCTCCACCTTCTTTTCTGGGTTTGCCTCCTCCACCACCTCCCCCGCTGTTTGGATGTCCGCCTCCACCTCCACCCTCTGCTAATTTATTGGCTCCTCCTCCGCTGTTCAGCACTCCTCAGGGTTTAGGGTCACCCCAGGTTTCTAGGGGTCAGCCAGCATTTATAAAGAAGAAGAAAACCATCCGTCTGTTTTGGAACGAGGTACGGCCATTTGAGTGGCAGTGTAAAAACAACAAACGCTGCAGAGAATTCCTGTGGTCGAAACTGGAACCCATTAAGGTGGACACTTCCAAACTGGAGCATCTCTTTGAGTCTAAATCCAAGGAACTGCCTGTCACAAAGGTACAGCTCGTATTCAGCTTGCTATTATTTTGCTATTGTATTGGTATTCATTCTGACTTAGATCTAGGTGATTTATGTTGCTTGTAAGAAAACAGTGGAAATTACTGGATGTGTTTCTAACTTGGCCTACGACGGAATATATTCCATGGCCTGAAACTAGGAGATGAGGCTAGGGTGGTGTTGCCCTCTTATCTCAGGTCTCTCGGTTTTGGGATATCACTTCAGGTGGGGAAAACCAACAAATTTTACATTACGTTGTTTGTAGCTGAGTGCCAAACTAGGTATTGAAATCTGAAATGTTTTCTGTTACATTCATATAAAGGTCACAGTGTGATGATTCATATTTGTGTATTTGACAGTTCTTCACTTGGTAATATCTTCCTAAAAGTTATGAAGAAAGGTTAAATATCAAACTGGATCTGCTGCAGAAAGCCTACACATGTGCTTTGTTCTGAAGGATCGATTTATCAGCTGGACCAAGTTTACAGCTAAACTTTGCAGGGGTGTTGGGTTTTTGTTTTATACTGGTGAACAGGCATATTTTAAATCCTTAATTTGTACAATGTGGCTATACAAATTTTAGGATAGAAGCTGGCACAGGAAATACCTCTGTAGCTAGGATTCCCTCTTCCTTAGGAGCATTGTTATAAAATAAATAAAATAAAAGGCTGGTGGCATGGCTGTTTAACATTAGACTCAACAACAAAGGGAAGTCTTTTGTAGTTAAATTTAGTAGGAATTTGAAGTAGCATTAAAAAAGTTACTAGCGTGAACATTTGTTTTTCATGGCTACATAAACTCTTTTTCTTCTAAGCAGAATAATCGGTATCAGGGAAACAATGGTTTTTTCCAGTTAAAATGCTAGTAAAAGATGTCCATCTCTCTTACTTAAAATAAATAAATCGCTTGTAGGTTTTCTATCTATGCCTGTGTGTTTTATAGTGACATAAAACCCAATCAGTACCTTGAATATTTTACTTCACTTTGGCTGGCAAAAGTTGTTTTATGTATTATGTTGTTTTATATATTATGTATCATATTTGCTCTTGTATCATATGTTTGCTCTTAATCTGGGAAGACTGGATGACTTAGGTAAAAGTTCTCCGTGTCACTTGTCTGGGTTATTAACTCAAAGTTTTCTAATAGTCATTCTTGATCTTCTTGGCCAAGTGGAAACATTGCAATTTCAACAATCAAACCCCTCATTAAGTACTTAGCAAACAACAGGTACATAAATACATGGTCGCTGTTCTTAGCTGAATTTTTTGTGACACAGATGCATGTAGATCTGAAACGTGTGGCGTAGCAGCTCTAAAACCACATTCAGCTGATAGTTCATTTGGCCGATGCTGAGATTAATTTCTCTCTCTAATTCCTTTTCTGCTGAGGAAGGAACGCTGGTGACGTCGTGGCGTGTTACTCCTCATCTCTCTCCCTGTAAATACAAATCTGCCACAGGTGGTTCGTAGATGGAAGGAATGAGAGCGTTTTCTTAGATCCATAAAACATTTAATTCCTCGAATTGAATGTGGAATTATGACATATTTGCCATTTCCAAACTTTAGCTTTGTGCTAAATGCCAGTATTGTAATGGATCAGTCTGGCTGATTCTTAACCTTTTATTCTCACCCAAAATTTTTGATAAAATGTTAAATTGTTGGAATTCTGACTTGTTTACTTTTTCAGTCATTTACCGTGCATGTTCCCAAACTACCTTTGGCCATTTCCCCCCCTCCCCTCACGCTTGCTTCCCAAACCTGCCTGGGCTGCCTGATGCTTTGGCACAGCTTTTAGCTTCTGGCTGGAAGATGAGTGAGCAGGTTTCTTTGAAATTAGTGCAAGTCTGAGGAATGATTTAGGTGACTACTTTCCTCTTGGAGACTAATAACTGCTCTCTGCATGAGACGTTATACTTTTGGCTCTCTTTCCACCCCGTCCCATAACACAGACATAGAAGTCTCATTGTCTCTGTAGAGAAGACAATGGTGACCAAGGATTACCATAGTGGAGGTCTACTCAGACTTCTGAGACTCTTGCGTGGTTTTGGTGAATACCAGCAAATCTTCCAGAGCAGGAGATGGTCCTTAGATCAAGTGAGAGTGGGAATAATTAAGCAGACCACTGAATCTGTAAAAGACTTGAGGTTTGGTACGAAGATTGCACTCAAATTAGGATAGCTCTCGCTTTTTCCAGACTGCTTGGTTTATTTCCAGGGAGTACATTCCCCGTTGTGTCTAGTTTCTTGCGTCCAATGGCTGCGATCCAAAACAGGTTTATTCTATAATATCGTAAAGTCTGACTCACAGCTCAGTTGGTTCAGCTGAAAAAAAGAGCACAGAGCAACAAATCAAAAGTCAAATCTCCAGATTTCATAGCAATAGATGGAAGCAGGTGCATGGAAAAGGAGCAGTCCAGAAGGATGAGAGGAAAAGCGAAGTCAGGGTGTGTAGGGGGGGGCTTGGCTCTATCTTGTGCATATGCTCTTTCATACAGCTGTAACCAATTTTAGTCCAGTTTCTAATCCTTCACTGATTTCCACAACACACAGCTATAAACAGCTACTTCCTGGCTCATGAGAAGTTTTTCATTAAACACAATAGACTGCAATAAAATAAAGTGGATTTTAAATTGTAGGATATAATATAGGAGTTGGGTGGGGGGAGGCTGGGAGGGGAGATTCTTGATTTTAGGAAAACTTACGCCACACTGGACAACTCACACATTGATTATAGTTAATGGAGCAGAGTGTTTATTTAGTTGCAGAGTGTTTTTTTTCTGGAATAGAGGACTAGGACATTCTGTTTGCGAATAGAAAGAGAGTGATCAGGTACCCCTCCAAGCCAGTCTAGAACTTCTTTCCTTCTCGCTCCGTCAAACAAAGCAGGTATTTTGGCAAAGTACTTCGAAGTGTTTATTTTTCTGTGAAGAGAAATGAAAACACGCAGACACTACTGAATCAAATGGTGTTGTTCAGCCTTTCTGCCGTTCACTTGGTTCTGCGTGTCATTTGGAAGTATTATTTTGCTGATTCATCTATATCCTGTGGGACATAGTGATCCATCATGTGCCCACAGACTTAAAGTAGTAGGAGTGAAAAATTAAGGAACGTGTTTTCGTGTACACATGTATATACATGCCTAGACACATATTCCTTTGGAAAACATTTGTTGCAATTTGAATAAATGCCAAGGCAAGACATAAATGTGGACCAGAATTTCTGAAAAAGATTATATATATGTATCCCGGACAAAGCCAGTGGCAGGTGAGTGATTCCGTTTTAAAACCTCAGTGCTAAATCCTTGCTAACTGAGATAGAAATAAAAAAATTGCCATCTCACTATTAAGGGATCGCCCATTTTTTTCTGTACTACTGATACAGTTTAAATGCAGAAGATATTTCTGACTCGATGCTCATATATAATTACTTATTTATATGCCCACTGGAAAAGTGATTTAAATTTTTCTGCTTCCCATATTAATTAAAGCAAAGAGGCATGTTTTAGACTATGTGCTCATCAGACTACAGATCACCTTCTGTGGGATGGTAACGGTTTTTAACTAACCTATGTTGACTACACAGCCTTCAATAGAATGTGGCCAGTTAGGTCTTCTAAAGATCTAAATTCACTGCAATTGTCAATACATTTTAGGAATGTTTGTTTCCCACAAGTTTTACCACCTAAAATATTTGTATTTTATAATTAATTTTGTATTTACATTTAATAATATAATATTCAGCAGTTCAGGGCTTACGTTACATACTGAAACATTAAAATATAAAATCAAGTGCACTAGTGCATTGTTCCCTCAAACATTTGAAGTCATTCTCTGTTAATGAACTTACAAAACAGAGTCTGAAGTCATCTAATATTGTAATAGAAGTTAATAGCTTATTTTAACAGTCAGATACTTAGACATGTGCAATTTCATTGCAGACAAAAAGGAATTCTTTTCCTAGTGGTAGGGTAATAAAATTTATAGTAGTAAAATCTTTCTCTTTTCTTCATCCTTTTATTTATTTGGGAAGGATTTCCTTTATAACTCAGCCGTCATCCCCAGAATGGATTTAAAATCTCTTCTGCCCCTGTTTTTGAAAAGAGTTAGTTACCCCAAATTTTTATACCCCATATGCAGTTATAGCTCTGGAAAATACCTACGTGCTTACATCTCCTATATAGCTCATCTGTCTTTCATAACTCATTGCTAAGGAGCGAGCGCACTGTTGCAATTGCAGTCGTCCCAGCGGTTAGCATCATATGTCCCTCAAATTAATATGTCTCTCTTGTCAAACTTAGGAGCCTAAAAACAGAGATCTGAGGCTTACTTACCCATACCGCATGTGGGAAGCCTAAAATTAACTCTTTTCCCTCTGCATAAATTCTCTGGAGCTGTGTAATTCTGTGCTGCGAAGGACAAGGTAAAAAGTGGTGGTTTAAAAAAGGCTTAGTGCGATACAGACTCAAGAGGAAGCAGTCTGTGGCGAACCCCGCTTGTTTTTATGTGGTCTTGGCCACTAACTGTGGTCCTGAAAATGTGATTAATGGCCCTGGTAGTAAAAATGACTCCTTCAAAGGAGAAGCTGCATCTCCAATGCTTCAGGTAGCTCCCCAAGAAAAAGAGGACTCTTACTCAAAGAAGGGAAAGTTCAAGAAGGCTTCAGGGATGCTTTTAAGGTGTTAAGAAGAGAGCAGTTCTGACAGAACAGACATACAAAAATTGAAAACTAATGTTAACTTTGCTTTCCGAAAATTTATCCTGTTTACTGTTCTTTTCAAGTTTAAAAAAAACAACCCTCTCATTACTTTCACAATTGCATCATACCACGTTAATCATGTTGGTATGATGGAAGGGCTGTGGTGCCACACACGTGCTGGGCAGGCTGCTGGGAGCGGTGGGCATACCTCCTCCTGTGCAGGCAAGGAGCTGAGCTATGCCAGAAAAAGGCATCTTTGTAACGGTGTAGCTGCATTCCCATTATGGGCTGACCCACAGGCGGAGGTACTTCGATAAAATCATATTTATTAATGTAGACAGTTCTTCCAATGCAGAATCAGCGTGTAGACCTGGCAGTAGGGCATTTTTTGACTCAGTGGTGGCTGTCGTGCAGACCCAAAGGAAGTAGAGAACAAAGCTTTGTGGTCTAAAAAGCAATCCTGAGCACAGATCGAGGCTGGGGCCGTAAGAGTCTCCTCCCAGGCTTCCCCCAAACCCACAAAAGATGCAAGAGGTGTTACTACTGTAGACAACACAGACGATTCTGTGTTCTGAACAGTTGCATGGGCTGCCACATTGCAGCCTGGAAAAAGGGATTGCTTAGTCTCTCTCTTTGCCCCTTTGAGGTGCATCTGTGCTAAGGCTGCTGCTGCCAGAGCCACTAACTACAGTCCAGGTAACAGGCTCTACAGGGAGCTGACAGTCACGTCTCTGCAGCCTGTGCCTTGCTGAAACATGGGTTTATACACAGCAAAGCATGTCTGTGCTTGCTTGCATCAATGTGCTGGTCGTCTCCCTATGCTCCTGTGCTTGACAGCATCCCTCAGCCCATCTCTGACAGGGCAAAGGAAGGGGAAGGGGAGAAAACGTGTTTCCAAAGTTCACGTCTATGGAGAGGGAAGAAAAATCGCTGTGTATGAGGAGCAGAGTCCTCTCCTCTTGCAGCTGCCTGGTATATGACTTATGTAATTGCCAAAAAGACACCTTCTAGCACGGGACAATGAGAGAACGAGACGTATGCTGGGGCGTAAAAGCAAAGACCACGTTCAACACTGTATTATGCCATATAAATGGTTTGTGAGTCACCTTGCCTAGTTCATTCACATTTTGCCACTATGAGGATGGGGAGAGAAAGGAAGAAATTTCTTGGGTCTTCTCTAGAATGGAATTTAAAGCATATGTTGTTAGTTCTTTGTGCTTTCATTGTTATTTATACTGTAGTTTATACTGGAGGTAAGATCCAAAGATCATGTCTGGTCTCAAATAAAACTTCGAAAAAAGCAGAAAGGTTGAAGTTGTTTTGCACCTGTGAAGGGCTTGACAGACATACCATGAGCAGCAAGGTTAGAATACCCTTCCTCTGACAGCCAGAGGTCAGAAAACTATGCCAGTGTCTCCAGAAAGGCCTCTACAGCTCCTTTGCCAGTGTCCAAGTTGGATTTATAACACATGAGAGTGCTGGCAGGCAGGTGGGAACCACCCTGTGTTTCCCAGCCAGCCACACAGGCGAGAGAGGGTCGGTGGCCACTCCGGCTTGACGCATCCAAAGGGGAATTGAGCCCCAGAGCCCATCGGCCACCCAGCTGCTGCCCCGCTGGCTGGTCCTGCCGCACAGCAGAGCTCTCGCACGGCAGAGACAGCTTCAGGCTTTTTTCAGACTGACTCCTGCCCCAAACTGCAGCGTTCCCAGCCCTCGCGGGGACTCCTGTGAATCAGGCTAGCTCGGTTTTGCACGGCATCTGAAACTGTGTTCAGCTCTCTGGTTAAATCCTGGCAGCTCATGCTAATACCAGCAAGGATGTGGTAGAAGAATTCAGCTTTTTTGGATGACTATAAATGCATTAGATTTACATTCAGTGTCAGCACCCTTGAGTAGGGGAAGTCATTAGTGAAAGGAGTGACTTTTTCTTTATAAAACAGGCTGGAGGAATAATATTCTTGTTCTCTTCTTTACCAAGAAAACTGCTGCAGATGGGAAGCGACAGGAGATCATTGTATTGGACTCAAAACGAAGCAACGCTATTAATATTGGTTTGACTGTGTTGCCCCCTCCCCGGACTATCAAGACTGCTATTTTGAACTTTGACGAATATGCCTTAAACAAGGAAGGAATAGAGGTAAGAAAGAGTAGTCGATGTCTTCAAGTCTGCATTTTCAATGTTTCCTTTTTTTTCAATGTTGCACATGGTACAGGCCAGACTTTTCATGGAACAGGGAAAAGGGGATGTCTTATATCATGACAGAGAGTTGAAACTCGTCAAATCAATGTAATGTACTCAGAAGCGTGTAGTATTCACCTGAGGTTGGGCATGCTCAGTAAACGTGGATTTCTCTGCTTTGTTTGTGTCTAAGTCTGAGTAATGATGGTGTTAATTCCTGTCAAGATTTTTGGAGTATTATCAATTCCTCTGGAGCTTGACTGAAATACTGTGAGCAGCAAGAACAGGCAGTGAGTTACTAGGGCTGATGCAACTGGTACAGGGTTTAATAAAGTTCATGCCTAGCTAGCTGTTGGAGTCATTCTAGATTGTATATCTAACGGAAAACAAATACAATGACTAGTTCTGCTCAAAATAGCGTTTCTGTGTTGCTGGTGTTTGAAGAAAAGCAGTTGGTATAAAGATTACAGATGATGTAATTTTTACCATTACATGTTTGACTTTGCAGATATTCTTACCGAGATCCAAGATGAGCTCTGTTTATTATTTTTTTTATCAAAACATTTTTCTTCTATGAAGTGTAAAAGAAGCCTGCTGCTCCCCTGGTTTTTTTCATTGTGGTTGTATTAATTTCAAATCTTTTTTTTTTTTTTTTTTTTTTAATAAGCCTGTATCATCTAGTAAGAGTAATCTGCACAACTACAAATCTCAACCAGTGGCTGAGCTGCAGAGGTCATGTATTGATTCACAGTCACCTTTCAGTGGTTTGGCACTGTGTTTCATGATTTCCCTCTTTCCACCTTCACTGTGCTGACTACAGAAGAAAATGAGAAAAACTGGCTGGAATGGAAATGGAGTTGCCAACAGTTACATGCAAAAGAAATACTTAAGGCAAAAGATCATTCTAGCTAGAAGGCAAGGCCTGATTTATCTCTACTAGAATATAGTTTCTTCCCAAATCTATATTACTTATTTGCTATATACATACCTTACTTACATTATGAAGGTGACAAATCAGACTAAAAAAGTAATTTTTCATGGCCCAGCCCATGTACCCACCACTGCAGTTTGCAGTACTAAGCTTTAAAGTGTTGGAGAGAAGCACCCCTCCAGCCAAGCCCAACTCACAAACCACCAGTTAGATCTCAGTGCTGTAGGCAATGTTTCCATACAAAGTCCAACATAAAATGGCTGATAAAGAAGGACACATCTTTATTATCTTCCATGTATCATCTCCTTTGAATTGTGTCCTTCTCTGGCACGCTTAACAGAAGTTCAGCTGCTCTGCACAGCTCACCCTTTCCAGTGCCAACATTTGTAGCTGGGCTGTCCATCTGCCAACCACCTGTGGTGTCCATAGTTGTGAGTGCCTTGTACCACCACACCCTCCTTTGGGTGGCCTTTCCATTAGCTGCCAGAAACCCGTAATTTCATTTAAAATATATATGCAGGTAGCTTTCAAACTGAAGAATTCAGAAACCAGGAAATGATACGCTGTTGATATATTTGCCCAGCGCTAAAGAAAATGGAGATTTCTGAGTTCTGTGTCCACAGCTTGAAGCTAAGGAAGTGAGTAATCCTGATGTGATCATTCTGATATTTAAAATCAAGAGAAAAGGAATAAACTGTGTGCCAACTGTGTGCCAACAGTGTGCCCAGGTGGCCAACAAGGCCAACAGCATCCTGGCCTGTATCAGAAATAGCGTGGCCAGCAGGAGTAGGGAGGTGATCGTGCCCCTGTACTTGGCACTGGTGAGGCCGCACCTCAAATACTGTGTTCAGTTTTGGGCCCCTCACTACAAGAAGGACATTGAGGTGCTGGAGCATGTCCAGAGGAGGGCGATGAAGCTGGTGAAGGGTCTGGAGCCCAAGTCCCATGGGGAGTGGCTGAGGGAACTGGGGTTGTTTAGCCTGGAGTAGAGGAGGCTGAGGGGAGACCTCATCATGCTCTACAACTACCTGAAAGGTCTCTTCTCCCAAGTAACAAGTGATAGGACAAGAGGAAATGGCCTCAAGTTGTGCCAGGGGAGGTTTAGATTGGATATTGGGAAAAATTTCTTCACCAAAAGGTTGTCAAGCCTTGGAACAGGCTGCCCAGGGAAGTGGTTGAGTCACCATCCCTGGAGGTATTTAAAAGACACATAGATGTGGTACTTAGGGACATGGTTTAGAGGTGGACTTGGCAGTGTTAGGTTTATGGTTGGACTTGATGATGTTAAAGGTCTTTTCCAACCTAAATGGTTCTATGATTCTATGGAGCAGAGCCCAAATACTTTGCACCTTGAGGGATGAAGCCCTTATTGGTTGGGAAGGTTGATGTCCATGGAGAAAAGAGCTTTTTTTTCTCTGTGTTCCATATTTATTTACTTCTTGTCAGATAAAACCCTGCACTGAATTCAGATTACCTTCCCCAAAACCCAATTTACAGATTTTTCTTATAGCACATTGTTATAGAGTCAAGATAGAAGTTTATAGCGAGATAGAGGGCTGGATTAAGCTATGCAGAATTGGCCAAGAGGTGCAAGGAGAGATACAGAATGCATCATTATGGGTCCCACTGTTTTCAGAAGAGCCCTGCCTCAGTTTTCCATACTGCTCCTTTGACCTACAGTGTAGGCAAGCTTTGTTTCCTCTTTCTCTTCTCCTCTGTATCCATCTGTTCACTGCCTTTAGCCTTAGAGTTAGCTTAGAGGGAACAGGGGTTGTCTTTTCAGTCTAGATTTTTAGAAAGTTTTCTAGTTCATATCTACAGTTCCTAAATATTAGGAAATAATTGGTAGTGATGATGAATGAATCAGTAACAGTGTAAGCATCAGCTTAATTTATATAAAAATGCAGCAAAATAAAGCAAATTATTTGCTATATAATATACTTTATAGCTAATCTGTGGGTTGAATGAGGCAGGACTGGTATGGAAAAAAATTATGCAATTGGTCTAATTAAAAAACTGCATCACAGTGGGTACTCAAAAGCCTTTCTGCATAGTTAATTGTTTAGAAGAGATGTCATGGCTAGTAAGCAGAAGAGAGAGATGTAAGGAGAGCAGGAGAAGAGATGTGATGTGTGCAGTGAGGGCATAACATTCACTGCTAAAATTTCAGAGAAGCTATAATTTAGGATCATCTTCAGCTTTTAGGGGAACCAGCACGGAGCAGGGCACCAACAGGGTATAAAGTCACCTGAGCCATCTGTTGCCTCTGTGCTATGTCGTTCGCTGAGGAGCATTGTCACTGTCGTGTTAGTGTGCGTGTGGCTTTAGTTCTGCACCTTGGTGGATAAGTTCAGATTAAGTAGTATCTTAAAACTGACCTTAGCAATTCCTTTAAGGACAGTGGACTAAAGTAGGGCTGACAATAGTGCTAGTAACAAGGCAGTGATGCAGTGGGATGCAGGCTACAAGTTTGTGATAGCCCAACTCATCACCAAGTTCATAGTGACCCAGTAAACCCTCCACTACTGTCCTACATTCTGCTGAATGCTGCTTTGCTTGTGCCATTTAAGTCTTGTTAGTAATCCATACTTCGCTTTTTAACTTCAAATATGTAACTAAGATAGGAGAAAAAATTCTCCAGGTATTTTAAAGCCCCCTATGCCTAAGTATGTTGCATATTTTAGGCCATGTATTTGAAGTGGTTAGGTACCCCTGAGCTGTGAAACAGGGCAGAAAATGGGCCATGGTGCTAGAAAGGCAGATGGAGTCCATTTAGTATGCAGAGCAGGCACTTCTAGAAACATTTTCAAAGGAAGGCACAATGTGTGTCTGCAAGCGTGCATCAATCCAACTAAAAAAATTTTTGCCACCTTACATTTGCCAAACTGGTTGTGTTTTCCTTTCTTTGAAAGCTTGGCATTCATTGTGTTCAAACAACTTAGAGCTCGCTGCAGGATAAAGAACAGCCTGCTTAGCATGGATGAGGGCTTTCCGTGAGCTAAGCAAAAGAGGCAAGTTTAAAATCCTGGCACCTAATTTTAATGAAGTGTATCATGAGCAACTGCAAGGATAGAGTTCACCAAACCAGCCCTTGGTGCTTGTCTTTAGTAAAGGAAATGAGTGAGTCCCTCTGTAAAGTGCTATTCAGTAAGGGAACGTGGATCGAAAACAAATTATACCGAAGAGTATGATTAATTTAGCAGAGTAAAATTGGGGTAATGCTGTGAGGAAATTAAGGTGGGTTGCTTTGTGCTTTACAACATAGCTTTGTGATGCTACACAGTATTGCATTGCATTGGTAGGTATAGCTTTTAGTAAAACTATTTGAAATGAAAAAACTCTCCAGGTAAGCTAGGCCCTCCCTACCTACATTTGTTAAATACTTTGAACTCCATGTGTCTGGAGTGGCTGGGTAGCCCTGAGATGTAAAAAGGAGTAAGAAATGAGAGCCTGGTGTTAAAAAGGTAGATTGTGACATGTATAAACAAAAAACAAAACTTGATTTTCGGAAACAATCAAGATATTTAAGTTTTTGTTCTGATAGTTGGCGTGGTACGTTAGCATTTGCAGTTCCAATTTATTTAGCTGATGCTTTGTAAAAGTGTGATGGGATGTTTCAAATTCTGCTAGCTCGCGTGACCTGAAAGAACACCTCCTTTCACAAGTCTAGGCAGAAGAGAGAACGGACTCAACGGTGCCTTGCTGGCCGTACACCCACAGTCAGAGTATTGTTGCCCTAATGAGTTTCAGACTTTATTTAAAGAAAAAAAGCTACACTTCCACTCCTTGCAGCAAACCAAAACATCTTCTACAGTTTCTGTGACCAGTAATGGCATGTTCATGTATTTCAGTAGAGAGCTGAGGAAGTGGAGCAGTCTGACCGAGGCAGCAGCTGTCAGTTCCTGATTTACAGGGGTGGCTATCAGGCATTTTAGATATAGTCCCTTCTCAGAATTGGATCATTTTTGAAAGAGTTGAAATAAAATTAGTGCAAGCGGCCTCACTTACTGTGGAGTCCTGACCTTCATATGCTTTTATATTTTGTTAGAGCTTCTGCAGGTAATGCGAACCACCGATGTGTCTCATCAATAGCTGCCTGGAAAGCTGAAGTGTGAGAGCCTTTTTGGAGCTTTGGTCTTAACAACAACCAGATATTTAGTTTACTCCTTTTTTTCAGGCTACTGTTCGCCTGGTAAAATCAGCTGAAACCAAATATGAAAGCCAAGGCACCCCTGCAACCTCATCATCACTGAGAAGCCCCATTATCTCTTGAAAGAGATAACTTAAGCACCTAATTTCCACAGAGGCTCCAGGCTATTTGCAGTCTCTGGTTAGGTGCTTTCTTGCATCCCACACTGAGGCCTGTAACCCTCGGGCATATAGGGGTTATAAATTTTGCCCTGTGAGCCTTGTAAGGCTTTCCTCTTAGAAATTTTTGGAGATCATACGTCAGGATGGCTGAGTCCAGGAAATAAACGGTTTGATCCCTTCACTGAAAGTTCAAGCAAGTGGCTGAGTCCAGCAGTCCAGGTGCAGAATAATTAGGATCCATTATCTTATGCGAACAGGATCTCCAAAAATTACTTCTTTTTCTCCATGAAAAGATTTGTGCACTGGTTTTCCTCAGAATGTTAGTCTCTGGCCCAAACAGTTGTGTGAGAATGCATGGAGGTGAAATATGTGTATCACACATATTAGAGGATATGAGCATAGAGTTTGTTGATAACCAATTCTTCTTTAATCGACCTGACAAGTGCTGTAAAAGGGAGAGCGTTATGAACTAATGATTAGATTCAAAACTATTTTTGATTTAATGGTCACATCAGGTGCCAGTAACCTGCCCTGCTGTGTTTTTGTACTACTTTTACTGTCAGTGATGCTTAAAAAAATAATAATTATAAAAATAATAATAAACCGGCAGATGGTGTACTCATCAGTTTCCAGCGCTCCACAAATGGCTCAAATTAGTCATAGAGTGGAAATCAAGAATAGGAGTATTTTACCACCTGCTCAGGGGCATACCAAGGATGATGACCAGCAGGATCAGAATTGCTTGCCCAAGCAGATTAGAAGTGCTGATGAGTAAGTCGTCATTACGGGGGCAGTTGCACCCTGGATGGTGTGAGACTTGCCAGCAGCTCTGGTCCCATCGAGGCAGGGCTTTCAGCAGCAGGGGTGATCCTCGGCAGCTGGCTCACTGTACAGGCTCTTTCGCTTGGCATTCTCTGTTTCACATACTACAGTACACAGCACAGCAGCCTTGCAGTACTTGGACTTGAATGCTTTTTGTCAGCTCCATCTGGCTTGTGGTGTTTACATAAAGCTCAAGGAGGAGGAGAGTCCTTTTGGAAATAAAGCTTACTGTTTCATTGCTCTCTTTAAAATGCCCGAAAGCAGTGCAGAATCTCTGGAGTGAAGGCCCTGCACCACCACAAAATACTTGTGGGATCCCTGGGTAGCTGCCAAAAGCCCTAGTTATTTGTAGGAGGCAATTGAGAATACTGCTGAAGTGTTAGCCTTCAAAAATGCTTCAGAAGCGTTTTTATATCCGTCACATGGCTACTGCTAAACTCTCCATGTCTGGATGTTCATTGACCCTATTTGCAAGCCACCTTGGCTCAGCTGAGGGGGTGTTGGCTTCTTCTTGTTGTTGAAGAGAGGAGTAGGCACGAGGAGGCCTGACTTCTTCAAAGGACACTCTGCGAAACACCACTTCTTATGAGTCTCAGACTCAGTCTCTCTTTTTTATGAGCTTTTTTAGATGAGTATTGGTTAAGCACTGAGAAATGTCCTGAAGCAGTTTTACTTATAAATCTCTAGTTTGATGTTAGGTATGACCTAAGTTACAGATTTCAGCGTGTGTGCATGGATGGATGCATGGATAGCACATCTCAAAATCAATACACAAATGCTATTAGTTGGAACAGGTGTACATCAGAATATTTTCCAAACAGTCATTGACAGGGGAAGGAAAAGCACCAGAGTATATTGAGGGATTTTCCTCCTCTTCTTTTTTCCTCAGGATATTAATTTATTGAGGTAGATGCTTGCAGTGTCCAAGCAAGGAGGCTTTTTTTTTTTTTTAACTGAACGGCAGAGCCAACATTAACAGAAAGAAATGCTTCTTTATTTATGTTTATGGAAGTCAGCACAAGAAGATGGACAGCAATACAAATGCTGTGGCTGAAATTAAATAAGTCCCAGTTCAACAAATGGAACATTATTTGCTTGCTTAACTCTTGTTCTTTGCCTGATTGACCAGAAAAGGTCCCTTGCTCTCCACGCTTACTTCCAGCGCTGTACAAGGAGCCAGATGAATTATCGGTAAAGTTGTGCTACTTTGATGAATTGGCTATGTCCAGCGCTGGAACAAGGCTGTAGTTTGGATTGGCAGGTCTGATAGCTCTTTGGCTGTATTTTTATTATTCTCTCCTCCCCTCCAAACAGCCTCTATCATTATAGAAGGCTACAGCAAAAACATGTAATTCCTCAGATGAATAAACATAAGTCGTGTTGAAAATCTACTGCTTTGTTTTAATGAGGCATTGATCAGCAGGGTGAAGACCTCAACTTATCTGATGCCTTTATGTTGTTTTGCTTTTCTTTTTCATTTTAAAATGCATTTATTATGTTAAAAACTAATTAAGAAGCAATACCTTAGAGAGCAATGCTTTGAGAAGGAAAGCTGCCACATGTGAACAAGCATGTAAAATCCAAGTATTAAAGGGAAAATATAAATGTTTTGAGCCACACTGACAGCAGAAACTGAAAATATTGAGATCCTTTTTCATCAATATTTTAGACTTTTCAGATCAAAAGAGAAAAAGGCCATATGTTATGCAATGCATAATACAACTTTAAATTCAATGTGTGCTCCTTGGGTAGTTGTCCTCAGTTCGGGCGAAATTTTGGGGAGTGACCTAATAGGCTGCAGTAGTTGTCATGTTTCATAAAAAACAAAACAGACTGAACAAAGAATAACAAATGATGAGAACAGCAGGGGACAAGAGTCCTCAAGTTATTCCTGTATATCTACAAGTGCACTGGAAGATTCGTAGATGTTGAGGCTAAAAGGGACCTGCTATTTAGTCTGACCTGCTGTAGATCACGGGCCAAAAGATTTCACCCATTCTACCCTCACTTCTGTATGTCATTTGCAGAAAGGTGGCCGGTTCTGATTTAAAGATATGAAAGCTGAGGAGTTCAGTCCTAACCAGACGCCCTGTCTTTCTTCAGTGTTTGATCCCATGATTAACCATATCCACTGACTACAAATTTTTAAAAATGCTTGTTAATACAGATGTGTTTTTCAACTGCAGATGTTCGAGATAGCAGGCCTTGTTTTGCTCTCTTGTGCAGTGGGTTAGTGCTTGGCTACTACTAATTTACCAGCCAGTGACTAAGGACTTCTGCCATTGCTGCTGAAAAGTCACCCAGTGTGACAGGAGCTCAGGCGAAGTCCAGGTGAAGCTCGTCGCGTGAGCCTGCGCTGCAGGAGCACTTGCCACAGGAGCATCCCCATGCCGCTACGTCCAGCCCTGGCACGCTTCTGGGCACCGCCGCTGACGCCTGCCTTTTGTCTCCTTTCGCAGAAAATCCTGACCATGATCCCGACCGAGGAGGAAAAACAAAAGATCCAGGAGGCGCAGCTGGCGAACCCCGATGTCCCCCTGGGCAGCGCTGAGCAGTTCCTTCTCACCCTCTCCTCCATCAGCGAACTCTCTGCCAGGCTCCAGCTCTGGGCTTTCAAGATGGACTACGAGATAGTGGAAAAGGTGAGGGGAAAGCAGGGAGGCAGGGGAGGAGACTCTTCCAAGGCTTTGCTTAATCTTTCCCTGACCTTGTTATTATATGAGCGTATATTTTGAGGAAACAGCAAATGGGTCGCTTTTGTTTCGGTGGCCAACCAGGAAACAGCTAAAATGATCCTTCATAATCTGTTCCTTCTATAAAAGAAAATTAGAGATTATGTCTTCCTTCCTTTAATTAGGCAGTAATGATATTGGAACAAAGAGGAGGGCTAAATCCTTACCACATCTTCTCCAGATGTTGTTATGCAGGAAATTCTTACTTCAGAGCAGTAAGAATTTTTCTTTGGATAAAGATTGAATGAGGACTACAGTATTCAGCCTTACATTGTAAAATGAGAGTATTGATCTTGCATCCATGTGAACTAAGGAAAACACCATCCATTAAAGTTATTTCTGTTTATAACTCTTTCAAAGTTATAAACAGAAGATAAGGCATCCTTCAGGGGTGCTCTTTTCAGTTCAGTCACAGACAATTGTTGCCACCTTCTTCGTGGATGGCATTTATTCAGAGAACACTATAATTGGGTTTCTTTCACGTATGATGAATCACAGACAAAAAATTCAAAACGGCAGCATATAATTTTGGTGCATAGGTGAGGCAGAATGAAGCTGTGTAGGTGATTTCAGCTACTTGCTGACTTTCACAAGCTCTTTCAGGAATCTCAGCGCAGGAACCTTCTGGCTGCACTTCCGGCTGCTCTTCAGGCAGCTCTCTCCTGTATATATTAATTTTGTATGTGTATCTGTGCACAAATGTGTATATTAAAAAATCGGTGTAACTTTGTGTGATACAGATTCTGAGAAGTGGGATATGCTTCTGAAAATGCCTTATGCGTACCTAGCCGCGGTTATTTAACAAGTTATACAACAGTGGACTGACTTGCAGATGATACTGTCAAGATTACTCAACTTCTGCTTAATTTTCTTAGATTTTAGGAAATGCAATCACACTGCATTTTCACATGCAATATTCAGGATTTTTTAATTATGACATTTTAGTCTTAGACATTTACATTTCTGACTTGTAAAACGTAAAATACTTGTATCTGGCCTGAATGCTTTTTTTGCCAGTTTTTTTTTGCTCTGGTACAGCTATTTATTCTGCTTTGAAGTTACCACAAGGCTAAATTGTTCCTTTCATGTGAGCTGAGTTAGCTGTAGCTGCTAATCTATGTCTATACCTAGAATTTCTAGCTTCCTCTCAATCAGAAAGTAACATTTGAAGCACTGCTAAAAGCTAAAGAAATTCTGAGTTTTCCTGTTGCTGATCCTGTAATGTTTATACCACAAAGTTAATGAATTGCCAGCTAAAATCCATGCAGAATGGATGTTAGTATAAAAAGTCTCAAACACCTAAATTACTCAAAGAAGCGATGGCTAGAGTGAAGATAGTATCAAGATTTTTATCCCTGTTGAAAGGTAGATAGGCCTAAGTACGGTACTTATCATAAAATGGTACAGGAAATAACATACGATAACTCTGATAAAGTAAGAGGAGCATGTGATAAGAAGCCTAGGAGACAAGCAGAGGTATGAGAGACAGCTTGGGTGAAGAGGAAGATACGGGATCAGACATCAGAGGTACAAGACAGAGCGAGTAGTTGGGTCTCTCCAGTAACAAAAGGTTAAAGTCAGAGTTTAAGTAACCAATCAACATAAGCGTTATTTAGACTGAGGTAAGATACCATGAGCATATCCAATTAAAAAATGAAGTAGTTTGCATTAATGATTGTGATAATAAAAGAGTCCCATGACCTGCTAAGATTCTTCTGCTCTTGAAACTATGTTTTTGCAGAAGATCCATCTGCAAATGGGCAAACCCTTTGTGAAACTTAGGTGCCAAATCACTTACCTCCACAGTTTTTATCATTTTTTTTGTCCAGCATTTGCTTGATTTTTTTAAAATCTATTTTAAAATTAGGAAAATTCGTAATAGTTCAGAATGCACTCATATTATTTATCGAGTCACACATATATTTTATGTAAGAAATGAATGAAACTTACTATTATTTCCATGAGGCTGGAAGTTTTAGATGGTCCATTATGTCCAACAGTGTGAAATACCCGAGTTCTTGATGTAAGGCTGGGGTTCTCATTCATGAGACTCTTGCTAATCAGCCGAGAACAGAGTTTTGCCTAAGTAGGTTTTAGTTCCATCTCTGACAATCTGAAAGAAAAACATCATGAAATTGTTCAACAAAAGGGTTAAGTGAGATACTGTTCACGTTTGTAGAAAAGCTTTCCAGGCGTAATGAAGGAAGTTATCTTTCTTGGATTTAATTTAATTAACTAAAGCAAGTCAGGGTACATTTGTATGTACCTTGGAGGGACAGGTACAGGGAGCAGCCTCGGACTGTGAGGGGCTGAACTGGATGAATGAATACTCGTTCTCTGCTCTTTACAGAAAACAAAAAAGGAAAACCCTTTCCAAATGATCTGTTTGATAATGTGTATAATGTTTTGAAATGTTAACGTGTATCTAAGGTACTGTACACCTACTGAAGGTCATCAGTGGAACAGTAATTTTTCTCACCTTTCTTTTGGTATCATATTTTAAAGGCATAGACAAAAGAGGTAGGGTTTCAACTTTCAAATACTCATTTTCAAACTTCTGGTTGCTCCGAAAAATTACACTGTGTTACTGCTAGTTCTTTATACTGAACTATTTATGATGCAGATGCTGTCAAACTTCATTATCTCAAAGGGATTTTAAAGGCCTTAGAAAGAGAAATAGAATCTTTAGTTATCCTAAATTAGGTACTTTTTTTCTTAAGGTCACTGTGGGCAAATATATCCCTATTGCTGACAACTTTAAAGGATCCTACATGAATATAAGCAGGTGTAGAAATGAGAAAAGTAGAACTGGTAAAGAAAAGGGCTTGCTTCAGTTTCTCTTCTGAGCAGAAAGATTACTCCTGACTCTAGTCTCCCTGGAGACAGTGTGCTAGAGAAGTAAGTGTCCAAAAAGATTGTACTTTTGAGCGATGCTTAAACTGTCTGAAAATTTTAAAAAGTGCATCAGAGCTTTTTAAGTTTTACAGTATGATCCTGATACTTTCCGTTATTTTAAAAGAGCATGATACTTTATGCAGGCCAGTCTTGATTAAATGCAAATATGGCAAATTACGTTTTGGTCATCTCAAAGTTCCCATCCCAGCTAAGTTTTTACCTCTCCCAGAAAAGCATGCATGTGAACTTGTATCGGTGCAGTAAGCTAAACTTGTTACCAGTATAGCAGGTTGGTAATAATGCATATGCCAGATAGCTGTACAGAACATGTGTGCTACATCCTCCCTGTCCCAGGACCATTGGATTCATTGCACACATATATTTGAGTTCATTTGTGCATGTGCATCAAACATTTATCAGGCATTATCAGATGTCTCGCAGCCAGAAATTCCAGACAAATCCTCAAATTTCATTCACGCATAATTTCTAGGTAAAAAAGAAGAACGTGGTAAATAAGGATACATGGTATCTAAGGATATGAGATACATATCTAAGGATATGTATCTGCCCTCTTTAGGTAGAAGGTGAGTTTTATAGGGAGCAAGAATGGGTTTTTCATCTGATTATACAGTATCTAGCACACTGATTTTTATTGGTTTTTAATGCTACAATAAAATGAAAAATAAAGAGTCATTATAAATGTGTACTATATGCAAGAAAGTCTAAGCTTGGATAATTTGCATGTAAATAGCTAAATTAAGGGCTACAGTATGGCCTGCTTTGGAAGCCTTTTATGCTACTTTTTTAATCTCTTCCAGAATGTTTTAAATTAATCTTTTAGGAATGGTTTTTTTAACAGGTTGCAAATTGATAAAAGTAAAATAGTTCAAATGCCTGTGTTTACAGCAGATGCAGAGCAGTGTGATTCATCCCCGTAATGCAACAAAACAAAGTATATCAACCCTGACTTTAAAGCAATTCAAAGAATTCTGTGCAGCAGTTTATTGATTTTTAGTTTAACTTGATGAAGTCTTGGATTATTTAGCATCTCTCCTCTGATGTATAAATGACTTTGCTCACTATGCCATCTCTTAATTGGTCTTGAATTTGCCATATTCTTTTCTTTTCAAGAGATGAATTGTTCTGTAGTGACTAGAAATGTGTGTTTCCTTCATCTTTGTGCTCTTATTTATGGTAAAATATCACTACAATTGTTGAATGACCTGTTGTATTCCTCCAAGAAAGTGAAGTTCTCAGGTATTTTACCTCTTGGTCTAAAGTAACAGCTTCGTTTTGGCTTCTTGGCTCATAAAGAGTGTAATAATTTGGGAGAAGAATGCTGCTTACTGATGCTTAGGATGGCATTTGGAGATAGAAGCAATGTGAACTGTTACTGTGCATACAAAATATACTCGGCCTCACACAAAGACATAGAAATAAGCTCCGTCAACTCAATTACCCTCGCTCTCTTCCTTTGAACTCCCTGGTGTAGTTCACTTCCCGAGGTAATGGAACAGAATTTATGTTTTCAAGCCTTATCAGTTTACATACCTATACTCAGATAACATGTGTGGATGGAAGACGCATTAAGTTAAAAGATTAAAATGAGAACACTTGTAAAGCTTGATGTCTGCAGTGGGTTTCTTTTTCAGTTTTAAAGTCACACAAGCACAAAACCATATCTAAAACTCAGAGGTGGCCGTCGTTTGAAGAAAGCTTTAGGGTCAGGCTACAAATGTCAAGTCAGCCAGGGTTCTAACTTTTTTTGGTTTGTTTTTCAAAGATTAGAAAAAATAGTTATAAGAAGCTTTTTTATCAGTTGGGGCAGGGGGATGTTTATGCATCTAACTCAAATGCAGCAGCCCCTTCTCTGATTCTCTCTCTCCTGTTTGAAATCATAGAATAATCCCCAGGACAAGTAACGCAATTGCATACATAGAGAAGCAACATTAGGAAAGTATTTTATGTATTTTTTTGCTGTCCTTGCATGTGATTTATTAGCTGGAGCATGGAAGAAAGCCAGCACACATGGCCAGTTTGCACTCTGCAAGACGCCAGTTCAGGAACTTTTTGCAGTAATTAATCTAAACCATAGAATTAAAAACTTAAAGCAGCTATAGCCAACTGCAATCTTCACTTTCTTGTTTCTATTCTCATGGCAGGAAGTTGCAGAACCACTTCTAGACCTGAAGGAAGGAATGGACCAACTGGAGCACAATAAAACTTTGGGATTTATCCTTTCTACTCTACTAGCCATTGGGAACTTTCTGAATGGAACCAACGTAAGCCTGATGTCCCAGCATTTCCCCTGCAGCTTTTTCTTTCAAAAAACAAAAGTCAAAACCATTATGACAGTTGCAACCCAGTATTTATTTTGGACCAGAAAAATAATTTAGAAAACAGAACCTATTTTTTCTTTTTTATTGTGTGTCAGGGTGCTCTTTGCCTCCTTCAGCATAACCTGAAGGACATGTGGAGCTAGGCACTCTTCTGGTGTAACTCCCTTGAGTTTGGTATTGGTCCCCATTCAAATTGTGAGAACTGTGTCATGAGTCATTTCACTGCAAATGGAGTGATTTTAGGCCTGCTCTTCAGCAAGTTAAAAATAAATAAAAGTAGTAAGTTTCTTCTCCTGAAGGATTATTCTTCTTTCCCCTCTGCCCCTACTTGGTAATCATTTTTGTCTACTAATCTGCATGGGAAAGAAAAAAAAACATTTTTATTTTTAATTTCTTCCCTTTTTTCCCCTTTACAGGCCAAAGCTTTTGAGTTGAGCTACCTCGAGAAGGTTCCAGAAGTCAAGGACACGGTGCACAAGCAGTCCCTCCTGCACCACGTCTGCACTATGGTGGTGGAAAAGTTCCCAGACAGCACTGATCTGTATTCAGAGATTGGGGCCATCACTAGGTCAGCCAAGGTATGTCTAATGGGTAAATATATGTATGTTTTTAAAAAGCCTCTTTAAAGTGAAATATTTAAGATTTTATTTTATTCTTCGATTTTGTTCCTCCCTGGTCACAGCACTTTTTATGAATGTGGATTCATTGTGTCGTTCCCACTGAATTTAAAAGATGCCAGTACTCCCTCTTCTGAGCTTTATCTCTGTCTGTCAGGTGGTTTCCTTATCAATGCACTAATAGGCAGCCACATTATGACAGCCATTTTAATGTTATATGCATTATTAATGTATATAACTATTAGAAACTATTTTCAGGTTAAAACTTTATTTGGCCAGTATCTTCAAATATATTTATTCTGTGGTTTGGGAGAATCTCTTTTTTAAAGAATATGCCTGATTGTATTTTAAGGGCAATGGAAGGAATGAACTTTTTTGGTAATAAAATTGTTTCCAGAATGAAAGTGTCCTTGAAAGATTTTGTTTAATTCCTTTTCTGTCCTCCTTCTGACAATAATTTTGATGATTAGGAGTTAGGGAAGATAAATAGAAATAAAGGAAACTTGTGGCAGCATCTCTTTTTAAAAAGTGGTAATCCCTTGGCTAATGCATAGGTCTAGTCAATGGCTCACTTTGGTATGCAGATTATTTATTACTGCTGCTAGCAGGCATGATAGAAACACTAACCTCACTCTTGGAGCTCTCAGAGTGTGAGATTTCATGGATGACCCTTAAAAACAGTATATTACTTGATTAATGGAGTAAACGTGACAGAATGTCATCAGGAGATAACAAACATGAAAATTCTGGTTTGAAGTCATGTCTCATGTGAAAATGGAAATAATTACAGCAGATAACACTAGTATCCATCTAGTCCAGTGTATTGATTCAGACAGTGGCCAATACCAGCTGCTTGAGAGGAGAGCACAAGAAGCTGCAAAGGAGGAGGAAGATCTCTCCTAGAAAAATTTTATTTCATGAGGCATAATACTCATTATATGCATCAAATGGAGGAATGATTTCTTTTCCAAAAGCCACCTTGTTTGGATGTTGGGAAAGGGTGGGGGGATGACACAATTTTTAAAAAACTGCAAAAATAAAATCTTACTTTGGCTCTTAGCGTAGGTCTTGTGACAATGAATTCATAATCTAATTTTGTCTGCTCTTGAATTTGCCAGTTTCAGGATTTACTGTCTGGATATATTGAACAGTCAAAACTCTTTTTATCTCTCTGTTTCATAGAATAACTTAGGTTGGAAAGGACCTCTGCAGGTCATCTGGTACATCATCCTTTTCAGTGCAAGACCAAATTAAACCAGGCAGCTCACATCCTTGTCTAAGTCTCAAATAATCCTTCTACATCTTTTTTTTTGGAGACCATTTCCACACTTCTTCTCCATCTTACCTTTTAGAATGGGTTAAATGATAGCAAACACAGTATTCCAGCCTCTCCTTATATGTTATATGCCTACTATGTTTGTCCGTTCTGCTTGTGCTATCTTTTGTTAGATGTACTGAGATTTTCTTTATGTTTTTTGACTGTTGCTATCCTTTTGACACCAGTTGTCTTTGAGCAGTTTACAAGGACATTCAGGCAGTTTCCTGAGCTGATCGGGCAATTCAGAATTCAGCCCAATGCACAAAGGAGTTCGATACTGCCTGCAATGCGCACTTCATTGCAATCCACAGTAACGACCATGATCTGCTGAAGCAGATTTACTGCTTATCTCTCAAACCCCTAACAATCTTAAATCAGGACTAATCTGAATAATTTCTTGCCATCTGTAGATTTTACCTTCTCGGTGTGCTTCCTTCTTTCCAGATAATTTTGAAATACAGAGTATAAACCGTGAGACACCTGCTGTTAACCCTGTCATCAGATGAGAATCAATATGTATTCCTTCTTTTCTTTTGCTCTCTTAACCTCACACTTCATAGGTGGCCTCCCATGAGGCTCTTGTAAAGATACTGAAAGTCTAATTTTGCTTACTTGCTCTTATCTGTCCACTATTTTATAAACATATTCAGAATCTAGTGATTATTTTGATGTATTTAATTTCCTGTTATTCATCCTTTCAGCCAGGTTACCAGGTATAGTAATAAAGCTTGGAGCTCTACAGTCTCCTGAATCAACCTTGCTGCTTTTGTAGATAGGTGAAACTTTTGCTATAATCTGATTCTTTAAGTTACTAAGTGTAGTGAAAGCATACTCATTTAAGCCAGTGGTTCAATTTCTTTATTTTAATTGCTGTCAGAATTCTTGTCTTCTGCTTGTTTAGTGCTTTGTAAGCTATCATCCTCCTCCAACACATTTGTTTCTACTAGCAAGTATTCGAACCTTGCTATTAGTTCACGTCTATTAAAAAATAAAATACAGAAAAATAAAAGCAGGTACCAGAATAGGTTTCTCCCCAACATCCTCTGTGGTGAAGCTGGATGAAGAGAAGTCATCTTACTTCCCTTCCCTAACTTTTGTCTTCCTCAGTTTCTTTCATCCCCAGTGATCCAGGACCTCCTACATATTTTCATTTTTTTGGATACCATAAAGGAATTTGTGGCTTTTGTTTTATATCCTTAGATATTTGCTCTTTGGATTCCATGCCTGTTCTCCTAATTTCCCTCTTGTACAGCCTATGTTTAGGCTCTGTTTTATTGCCTTCACTGAGGTTGGTTTCTCATGTTTGGAAGGTTTTAATTTTTTTATGTTTTTTTTCCTTTGAGTGATTCTTCATCTCTTAACATTTAGGTATATTGGTTTCTCATTTCCTGCTTCTTCTCTTTGTTAAGAAGTTATTTCACTTTTTTTTTTAGATTGGGACCAAGTTAATCGCTAAAATGAAAATCACCGTAAAAGAGAAGAGCCCTTGTTTTCCAAAATCAACACCACCATGTATGGTGTACTCTCAAGTGAATCTTCTACTTCTATTTTTCAGTCTTAGAAAGTGGAAGAAAGCTTAACCTAATGGTGTCACTTATAAAAAATTTTTAGGTCTAAGAGCATACAAAATTGAGCAGAGTCTTTCAGTCTGTGGTTTGCTGATCGAGTGGCCCTGCCCAAAGCGGACAAAATTCTGAAGAGGCCAGACAAAATCACATTAAGAGAAATTATAGCCTTAACCTTCCTCGTGACGCCCAAGGTCTCCCTCCTTGGGATGTTCCTGCATGTGTTATACCACTGATGGATTACTGTAACAAGCTCTATTCCCACTTGATCATAGCTGCCACAAATCAAAGAGTTAGGACATGGAAGCCATCCAAGCTGCCCTCTTCAAGGGAATGTTCACAGACAAGGCAAAATCTTGGTTTAGAAAAGCTGACAGGAAAGGAGAACTAATATTTCACTGTGGATTAGGCTGTATTTTGAGCTCCATTTTGTCTACAAACATCTTTCAGAAACCACAAAGGCTAAACAATTTCCATCCTGTAGATAAACAGAGATGCCCCTTCCCCTGAGATGGACATCATATGAGAATTTCCTGAGCCTTAGTTCATGAAAAAAAAACCATAAAGAAAACAGGCTGCCTCACCAGAAGAGAGTTAGAAAGACCAGAAACAAAATGGTGTAGTTATTGCAAAACTTGTGGCTTTTTGTTGAAGGACTGAAGTCATAAATGGCAAAAAAAGCAGACACAAGTGAAAAAATTACCAAAAAATAGAATTCTAGATAAATAAAAGTATTCATAGTTGTATAAAAATATATAAGATCATGCAGGGCCACTGATTTTTCAGTATCCCATGATTAAAAGCACTTGCTTTTTTCTTTTTTTTTTTAAACATATTTTAAGTTGTTTTTTCACTGGAGTTGTACCAGAACTGATGTACCTAGAACTGAAGCAGACCCCCAGATTCCTGCAGTTAAACTCAGTATTGTTCGTAGAAGTTTCCTTACCAGTACGGCAAGGAGGGGTTGCATCAGCTCTCGTATCTTTTCTGTTACTGAAAAAAAAATGTATTCTTATTAAAAACGTTCATCTTCTTTCTCATCCCCATAAATATTTTTCCCCATGCATCTGAAAGCTGGCCAGCTCCATAAAGTAAACTAGTAATTGTCCTTTTCTTCCCCTAATTTTAATTTACTTACAAAATGCCAAACTTCTGGATGGTTTTTAACCCCTACAGCAAGACTCTTGGATTAGTTGCAGATACTAGGCAGTGGAGAAGCAGGCAGCTTTTAAAAGTAAGCAATAGGAAATATTAACAACGCTGAGGAGGGGGCAAGGATTGCTGGTGGGAAAGAACTTAGAACAAGACTAAGACGTACGCAGGGGAGTAGGAGGCCTGCAGTTGCCCTCTGAGGGACTCAGCAGGGAGGTGTGGGGAGAAAGGAGGTGGCTGAAGCAGAAGTGCCATTCTGGCGTGCTCTAGGTTCTGCTTGATACGCTGGAAAGCAGAGAGAGCAGAAAAGAAAAAAAAAAGTAGGGAAGATCATGCTGCCTCCCACACTGCTTCAGTGGGATTTCTCTTGACTCGCTTGACAGGAAGTATTTGTGTGCAGTTATCATTCAAGTATGCTTTCCCTA